CTCTGTGGAGCACATTCCCAGTGTAGATTCAGTGTCCTGTGTCTCTCTGTGGAGCACATTCCCAGTGTAGATTCAGCGTTCTCTCTCTTTCTCTCTTCCCCCCTCAGGACCGGAAGCTGACCAAGGCAGAGCAGCAGCGGTTTAAGGAGGAGGCAGAGATGCTGAAGGGGCTGCAGCACCCCAACATCGTGCGCTTCTACGACTCCTGGGAGTCCGCACTCAAGGGCAAGAAGTGCATTGTCCTTGTCACCGAACTCATGACCTCTGGCACCCTCAAAACGTCAGTGCTCCCCTCTGTCACCGTGAACGCACCCAGCAGTCACACTGTCTGTGGAATTGGCCGTTTGTGCAGCAGTCTTAATAGCACCTCAACATCTTTTATTTATATAACACCTCTCACCAGCAAATTTAAAAAACAACAAAACACCAAACCAAGTTTAACAGACTTGATCTTACTAATTGATAAAAATACAAGACGTATGTGGGGGAAAAATTGTGTTTTTAAAGAGAGTTTGAGCATCTCCAGTGGCCTATAATTTGCAATACCATTTTGGCAGGGAATTTTAAAGTCTAGCTGGGTGTATTCGTGATTTCGCAGGGTGGGGTTTGGTGGGTTACTTCAGCATGTCAGTAATTTAAGGAGACGTGACCCTTAATGTTCCTTTAAGTGAGTTAAGTTGTAAAGTCACCTCGAAATTGTATAAATAGTCAGTGAAGCCAGGATAATATGGCTGAAATGTGAGAGCAAGATTTTCATTCTTAAACACAAAGGACTGCACCCTGAATGCTTTGGTGCCTTCTTAAAGTGCTGCTGGGCAGGCTGCAAGGTACTGCATTCTACTAATCTAGTCTGAAGGTGACAAGTGCATGAACTAGCCTTTCAGCATCGGCCAGTGGCAAACACAGGCTGAACACGCGCAGTGTTATGCAAATGAGCAAGGCTGTCTTGCAAGCACTGCGCACGTGAAAGTCAAAGTTGAGGGAAGAGTGCATGTGTGAAATCCATGTCTCTGCCTTTAACAAGTGAAATCATCTCTCAACGCAATGAGAAAGTAGCTCTTCTCAGCTGTTTACTGCAGTGTTTTCTCAGTTTAAATATCTGCAATGGCGGTGGTCCGCATCCCTGGACCCAGTCCCATGTAGAATCCCAAGTATGAAATAAGAATATTTTTCCCTGAATTAGCTGTTGGTGTGGTTTGACTCTCATGTGGATGAAGGATTTAATAATAATAATAATAATAATAATAATAATAATAATAATAATAATAATAATAATAATAATATTATTATTATTATTATTATTATTATTA